AAAAATTGGTAAACAAAGCTGAAAAGGTCAAAATACATTCTACAAATCGCTGTTTAATGGAAACAATATCGAACCTATTTTAAAGTTTATAATTTTCTTGAGGAAGGCACAGGATGACCTACCTCGAATTCTAAGAAGTAGGCAAATTTTAATACCCCTAACTTTATGGTGAAAAGTAGATATTGTTGTATTATAAACGGGATGCTCCTCAAACAGCAAAACTGATGTTAAAGACATGATACTAGTGAAATTATAATCTACTATTGCCAGACTAAACAATTGAATCAAATTTCTATTTCTCAAACCTATTTTTTAAGTTGAAAGGAAAAAAATTTGAATATAAGTGATTAGAATCAATCAACAAGAAACAAACACATACCTGCTTGTGTAGTCTCTTTCGAGAACGGCAATTCGTCCTCGAATTCGATGAGTGACCCATTTGTTTTCTGGCACTAATGCACACACAAATTTGTGTTCATCGGTCTTTGGACCTCTCCCTTTAAAGTTGGTTGACTTTAATTTAAATTCAATCCACCCCCAATGTATTCTTAATTCTAAACAATTCCCTCCCAATTTTGTTCCCTTTTACAATTTTGTTTCCTAATGATAATGCTACACCGACATTCGCTCATTTCTTTTCTAATCTACCAAAAACTGTATAGTTTTGTTTTTGTATCATTAGATTATCAAATGCTCCGATCATGACAATACTGTCTGAATAACGTTAATAAAATTTTCCTCAAAAGAGGATTGAGATATATCTGAGTCAGTCATAGATGAAACTACGGAATTATACAATAGGGGAATAATAATTATTGTCAATAATAAATGGTTGAGAAAATTAGCCATAACGTCTAACGCATCTTGCCCAGCTCAATGTATAAATAAATTTGATATAATTTCGATTATATAGCATTCTTTTACTACCATACTATTTTAAAAAATAAATAATAATTATATATAAATATATTTTATTTCAGGCCCGTCAACGTGCTTCCGTAAAATGGCTTCTTTCAAAAGCTTTCAACAATCAGACTCCAGATAACCTCAAAGAACCTTTCTATAGAGATCATGAAAATCAAGAACGACTTAAGCCACAAATCATTGTTGAGCTTGGCAATGCTACCCTGTATTGTCAAGCGTTGTCTAATTTGTATTCAGATCCAAATTACCAAAGCTTAAACCATTGGTCGATTTTGCAAACTTTGTCACGGAAAGGAGTTCCAGTGGCAGAATCTCCAGATATGCCAATAACAGAAACAGTTCTGATACAAACAAATCCATTAAAAATTGTAAGTATATAGTGACTTATTTATATGATTTACTTTAGATAAAGTTATATTAATTGACAAAAAAAAACAAATTTATTATAGAATGCCCATATGTCTGTGATAGAAGCACTTATGATTTTATATGTGAAAGAATGCACATCCGGAGAAAGAATATTAAATGCAATTCGAAGGTATGTATTCTATAATAATATACACATACATATACAATAATTAAACTCAATAAAATTATTCACTTTAGAGTATCTGGTAGCAATCCAAATATACAGGAACAAACATTTGAAAAATCTTTGCTATTATGGATTTCGCATGTTTGTGCAGCACTGAAAAAACGCATAGATAAGGAAATAGAAGGTGGTGCAGTCGACGAAAATGTATGTAATCCTTACAATTTTTAAATATGATTCTATTAAATAAATTTTAAATGTAGGGAGTTCGTTTGCAGTCACCAAATATTCCGCCAGTGCAAAACTTTCAAGACCTTTGTAATGGCATTTGTTTGGCACTACTAATCCTATTATTGTCCCAAAGTAGTTCCGTGGACTTGTGTACGTATTAATCATTTGCCAGCTGTAGAGGATTCGATATATAATGTATTGATAGTCAGTAATTTTTCTCAAACCCATTTGCCATATACAGTTTTTCATATGAAACCAGAAGATATCACTTATATGAGAGGGTAAATTTAGTTTAATAATTATTAAAATAGTTAAATATTAATTGGTTTTTTATATATACTTACAGTTCAATGAAAACAAATCTTTTAGTATTGTTAGCAGATCTTTTTAATTTGTTTGAAATTCATCCAGCAAAGTGCGTTTGCTATCCCAGCATGGATTCTCCTGGTAAGTCATATATACATATATTTAATTATAGCAAAAAAATTTTATATATAAGTAATGTAGTTCAAATATGTATTGCATATTAAGATTTTTTAGTTAAGTTTTTATTTTAATTATTTGCGTAATTCTCAATTCTTAATTTATTAATTTTAACCAAGTAGAATCAATTAAAGTATTTTTAATTGCTAATTTCTTTCAATCACTATCATTTATAAACACCAGACTTAAGTCCTACTATAGGTTCTTGATTATTTCAACATATTTTGTTCATCCCTAGATGTTTTAAAAATTCAAAGAAATATATCAATATATTTTACTTTGTTCTATATTTGAATAGTTCCACATGCTACGTCTGATTATTTTGTATTATTGAACTAATTTGTATATCTGTCTTCATATTCCCGACATTTATGAAAGTGCTGATGTAATAAAAAGGTTTTCTGTTTTATTTATTTTATACCGTATTTCCTAACATTTTTCAGTTGTTATCTGGTAGTTTGTTAAATAAATTTTGATATCTAACATAATGTATATATTGTATTTTATTAGAGCCCACTTTATGCGATTTAGTAAAGGTTTGAAAGTGAAATAGATGCTTATTCAAATATAGTTTAGAAGCTATAAAAGAAAAAGAAACAAAATTGGATGTTTATAATTATTTATAGATCTTAACATTATTAACTATCGTTGATGAAGTTTATGTGTATATGAAATGACTTTTATTAACTTTATTTGGTTTATATATTTATCTGATTTTATGTAAAAATTTGCCAACATTTTGAAGATTATTTCACTTCACTTTTAAAGCAGGATCTTACAAAAACTATTAATAATTTTTGAATAACAGCTATTTATAGTATAACAATACTTTATAATATTAAAGTTAGTTTTTTTACATACTTCGCCAAATCGCTTTATAGTAAAGTCAAGACTTTCTATATATATTTACTTGTCATTCAATTTTTGTGTTCTCTTTTAAACTGCTATAATTTTTCATTTTTACCTAACACACAATCTCTTTTTTATAATAAACAAAAGTTGAAATTTACTTCAGTTTTTATAAAAAAAAATCAGATTAATTCATAATTTAGTCCGTACATGAAATAAAATGGACCTGCTTTTGATCTAAATCAAAATTTTGTTATTCTGCGCTAGTATTATCACTAAGTATATATATTACTGCTCCAAATATTATTTGAACTATTCAAAACCTCAGGATTTGTGATTTTTGAAAAGCTCTGATAAATTTTTGAATGCTCACACTATAACGAACATTTATATTATGCGATCTAAATGTTCAATTTCGTAATGCTCAAACACTTTGAAGTACAAGTATATAGTATATTTATTATCACTTATAACTAATTGTAAATAAAATATAGAAAATCATATTGTTCCATTTTGGAATTAATTTATTGTAATATGTTTTAATAAAATACTAGACAATTTACAACAATATGGCTGTTAAGCGGCTATTTGCAAATCGGAAATAAATGATATAATTAATGTTCATCTGAGTATAAGGTTACGTTTAAAATGATTAATAATATATGTATATACATTTAAAATAAAAAAAAATATCTCTATAGGTAAATTAGTCAAAGTCAAATTAGTTAAAACAATTAGTTAACAAAACAATTTAAGATAGTTGTTAAAGAAATTATTTAATTAGTTACGATCTAATTTGAAATAGAAAAAAAAAAACAATAACCTGACAAAGAAAGTCTAAGTTAGATGCTAAATAAATAAATAAATAATCTGTGAATGCAATAAAACTCTACAATTTTTTCCATTAAAACTGTTAGATTAATTGCCAATAATATAATTTTTAATATGAAAGAAGTTATATTTTTTTCTTTTTTAAAATTGAATTCTAATTATAGGACATACATATTTTTAGTTTCTTATATATGTTATTGTGTAAATAAATGAAGCTTTTTTACATTAAAAAATATCTTTTTAATTGTTTTTTAAAACGAATTAGACCCAATTTGAATCCATAAAGTAATTATATATGAGCTGCATTCTAAAAAAAAATTACCTTAATTTTTATAATTCAAATTATTTAATTTATTCTTCACATAGTTTTGAAACATCCCATATAAAGCGTTAAAAACTTCTGAAAAAATTTAAAAAAGATTTTTAGTTGTTATTTTTTTTTTTTGAGATATAATTTATATTAAAAATATAACAATAGCATATACTATATAATAATATATTTTAACGCATTGTTTTTATGTTTTTAATTCTCGTTTTGTGATATTATAATAAGTCTTGTAGAAGAACAATAGAAAACTGTATAAGCTTTGTAATATTCAAATTCAATTACTTTAAAAATTATATATAAAATATTTTCTTTTCTTTTTTTTTTTAAAAATGCTTACATAAAAAACAATAAATTTGCATATGCAATTTTTGAACACAAATAAATGAACTTACAATTGTAATCACTATGAAAACTAAATTAAAATTCAACACGACTCAACTCAACACTTCACATCGTAACTCACCACAACTTTGTCTATCACAACACATTTGCAGAAATTATCGCAAAACGAAATGTTGGAGTAAATGAGCATGGAATTTGTCATCGTCGGGGTCTTACAATGCAAGCAGTTAAACCAATTCCAGATTTACGAAGTGATTTAGACATCTTTTCCAGCTCGCCAACGAATCGACCCCCGTTTCAAGGTCCTTAAAAATACTAATTTAATCTTTCTTTCTGTTTTAAAAGACTTTCATTTTGATTCTATAATAATCAAATGTTACATTTTAGTTGTTTTTTTTTTTTTCATTATTTTTTTATTTTATCGTTTGTTGCCTGTTTGCCATTTGTTCTTTGATAATTGTTCTGCATTGTTTCTTAAGCATAGTATGAAAGCTTGTTTACTGTTCCGAATTTAAAATATATTTGCACTTCAACCTTTTTAAACTTGTAACCCTTTAAATAACTAAAAATTAAAACAAATATATTTTATTAATGTGTTCTAAAAAGTCATTCATTATAATAGAATTATCATTAACCCATTTGCATTTGTTTTATTCGTGAGACTCCATTCGTCCATTCACTGTTATGAAATATCTTCCCACACATTTTTTGTTTGCTGCACACTTCAACTAATTAAACAATAATACAAATATTAGTAATGATTGATTTGTCCTTAATATGTTTTTATATTTCTTGTTAAATTTATATCTATATAGTTTATAAAATTAAATTTTTTATTTAAATGTTTAGTAGGACGACTATGTTATATGATGTGTGAAGGAATGTTAAATAGTTATTAGTAGCTCAAGAAATTCGATGGAATATGCCGCGATATAGTTCCAATCATTTGTGAAGTCGTTTAAGTAACTCGTAGATATTCAATTTGAAATATGTTTTGAAAATAACTATTGCACAATCAGATTTGATTCAATAGATAATACAGACCCTAACCTCACAGTTAATATTCTTTCTGACAAACGAAAATACGTATATCTTCACTGAGAATACTGTGTCAGAAATTCTGTTGTTGTAGTAAACCGCTGAGACCTGTAAGCAGATGACATGAAAGGGTTTGCAAGAGGATAACATAGGTGGGAAAGTGGGTGGTTAGTGGTTGGGGTGATGGAGGGGGAATGTGATGGGATAGAATCAGAATTTCTCGTCTCTTTCTGGTCAACATCAGAGCCGGATCATCACAAATATATGTGATTAGAAGTTTCATATCGTTTCAAACACAATCAACATTTTGACACTTTAGACAACACCATCTTGTTAAAATGTATACGCAGACTAAGATTTTTCTTATTAAGTAAAGGGCTAATACCTTCTACTATACATATAGTAATGATCTTATCAATTAGTATGCTGTTATGTATTGGCTAGTAAAATCATAAATAAAGTTTCTGAATGTAAAGACATCAAAAATTGTCAGCAAAATTGTTTATATCAAGGCAGAAATTGAAATTGTATTTATACAGAATAAAATAGTAGATATTTTTATATTTCAGTAAAATACACTAACAAGAAAGTAAAGTTGAAGCACAAAGAAACAAAAGACATAAAAAATGCTTTTTACTAGCACTAAATACAAAAAAAAAAGGATTTCGCAAAACATTTCTATAGTAAAAAGATACTGTTTTTAGTGATAGTGTTTTTAGTGTTCGACAAAACAATTCACATTGTTCTGCAAAGAAGTAAGACATATTTAAAATTAAAACTAGTTTTATGTTACATAATATCCTATCAGTTGAAATAATGAAACTATATTTTTTTTTATATTCATATATTTATGAAATGCTGCGCGATCTAATGTTTCATTTTTAATGTTAAACAATGTATAGTTAATATAGTTTCGTAAGCGATAAAACTAAAACTGACTGTATAAAAATGTTATATATTTTTATTGTTGTCATGAAGATCCTCCTCGTTGTATCGATGAGTGACTTCGAAACAGCCACGGCCTTTCACATTTATTTATTGTATTTTAATAATTGTATAATAATAAAATAAAAATTCTTTATAAAAGTTATCTCATAATTGAAAAAATTTAATTTAAAATATGGCTATATTTTATATATAGCTATATATTTCTACTATATAAAACTTCTATGAACTACGATTAATATGGTCTTTCGACAGTGTCAAAATTAAAATCATTTCTTGTTTCTCAACTGCTTTTTTTTTGCTAAGACTATGTAAGTATATATACTCTGTTAAAACACAAAGTTTTATAAATAGATATAAAAATAGAAAGACGTAGATTTATATCCTTTTTGCAAACAGTTATTCGTTTAACAGTCAATATTAAATTTCGCTGATAGCTAGTACAATTCATTAAAACATTAAATCGTTAAATCGTTAATAGAGGAAAAAAACTAGAAAATTGTCTTGCTTAGAAAATATAATAAATCCTCCATTAGAAGATAACTCTTTATACGTTAAACATATTTAATACAGCTAGTTTAAATCTTAATGATGTTTATGTTTATAATTTTTATTATTATTATTATTGAAACTAAAAAATCTAATTTAAATATGAGTCAGAAATCTAAATTAAAGCAATTATATTTTTGCACATTTTCTATGCATTCAATTATTTTTTAAAAAAATAAAAATAAAAATATTAGATGCTTTGTATGTCATGTATGAAGAGTAAATATAATCATTTTATTTACTCAAGTAACAAAAATAATTTTTCCACAAATGTTCCCATTTAAGTTTTTTTGTTTTATGTTATTTAAACAAAGAATTATAATTTTCTTTTCTTTTTGTTATTTTGTTTTTTATTTATAGTTACTCGTCTTACTTCGGATAATAACAATTTCACAAATAGGGTTATATCAAGAACTGATTTTCGTATGACTGATATAGCAACAAATAATTTAGACAAGAATCAGAGTGAAGGTAGTTATTATTTATTATTTAATTATATTCTTATCATTTGCTTATTTATATATATTTTTAAAATATAATTTTTTGTATTATTTTGTATTTTTAAAATTATCTATAAAAAAATTCTTATCAAGGCTTCGAACTAGAAAGTTTTTCGTCTCGATTCAATAAAAAAATATATATACCGGTTCAGTTTCGAATGATTATATTTTATATATATTTGTATTACATTATAGTCATTCTTTTAAAAAACATCATTTACAAATTAAACAATTTAAAAAACAAACTTTAACGCTTTAAGCATAGTATTAACGTTTATTTCGTGCGAAAAATTTTTTGCAACTAAATTTTTAATGTGTTTATAATTTTAAAAACGATTTATAAAATTATTCGAAATACACAAATTACAATTACAAAAACACATATGAACTCATATATTTAGTGATGTCTTGAAGAAGATACACCAAATCACACACATATATCTAATTTTGTTAACTGCCATTTTTTGTAGAAATTTTTAGTTTTCATAACAATAAAAACTAAAATAAACATATGTTGCTATCAGTTTGCACATATGTTTTATTTCTAGAAATATCACGAATAAATTACAATATTTAACTTTTGTAAAAAAAAATTTTTTTTGGAGTTTTAAGTCAATTTTTCGTGCGAAATCTTTGTTAGTACTAAGCATTATACATAAAAACTGTTTTGTTTTTGAATTTTGTAACTTTCATTCGCGAACGTTTAAACGGAATCAGGGATGCGATATAAATCCTTAAAGTATTTTTTTCGGTTGCATTTTTCACTTTTTACTCAGGTTCGATTTTTCTCGGTTTGCGGTCCAGTGCTGGTTCTGGTTCAAAGCTCTAATTTTTACTATAAAAAAATAATCTTCATTTATTCATTCTTATGTAAACCTCTCAATTTTTTAATTTATCCAAATTTATTAAATATTTATATATGTATTTTATATACCATCAACATGTATATCATTCCAATTTGGCGTTTCAAATTTGCAGCCTTTGTCGTGCACAAATCTCGTGGCATTACAACACTTTCATCATTGCACTCGCAACACATGCAAGAGGAACCATTAGTTCCTGCACGCTTGCGTCCAAATAAAGAAAAAACAAACATGGAATCAAAAGCCGATGAAATAGGTTTGCATTATGTTATTTAAAATATGTAGAATTACTTTATTATTTTTTATAGTTTACCCTAATCATAGTTAAATAAATACATTTCTTCAAAATATAATAAAATTAGAAATTTAAACTTTTTACTATAATATTTTTAGTATATTAATAATTAAAAAATATATATTTTTAAATTCTAAAATAACATAATTTAAGTTGTAAATTATGATATGCATTATTTTTATACAATTTATTTTTTATTTTGCTTTTATTTATATTGTGGCACTTAATAATTAATTTGTTATGCAAATGTTTGTGCGATAACTTATTCTCGCATTATTGTTTGGCATTTATATCAGGCGATTATGTACCAGCTGGAAGACCCAGTAATTGGGAACAAAACCGACGGCCCAGTTATGCAGGTAATGTATATATAAATAGAAGTTTAAAAAAAATTATTTTTGAAGTAAGCATGTTTTAACTTAATAATAATTTTAAGGTTGCATAAAATTAAAAACACTTTCTACTTTATTTTTTATTGATTTTGATAAAATTATTAACTATAATATATATCTAATAAATGTCAACACTTAAATATTTCTTTAAACATATTTTGTACTAAATAGGACGACGTTCGCGCAGAAATTCTTCAAGTGAAGATTCTCAACTAACAATTGAAAATTTTGGTGGTTCCCAAGACCAACTTAATATGGCTGGACGTTATGATCGTGAAAGGGACAGAGAAAGGAAATTATCTAATGCCAGTGTTGGTAAGTATTAAACTTTAAAATAATATAAATTTGTGTACTAAAAATCTAAACAACTTTTTATGTGTTGCTCTAGAACCTGCTGTAGCTGTGCGCTCCTCTATAGCGGATGCACGAGGAACTCTGCAAATAGGCTATGACACTGATTCAGGCTCTGAAAAGCAAGATCGTGAAACAGAAAAATACTCGATGAGACGCCAAGGAAGGTAAGCATCATTGAATAAAAGTTTTATTAAGTCGACATTGACGGGATCTGCAACTATGTATGGTTTAGAGAAATTTTCATTTAAAAGAACACACTTTATAAGATTGTATGAAAAGTGGGAACTAGCAATATTGCATTAAAAATCGATTTTGTTTATTTTTTTTATAAATATTAACTTTAACCTCGAGCGTTAATTTTTTGATGCTTTTACCTTTCATCAGAAGAATTCCTAATATTCACTACATTGCTAAGACAGACCGTTGGTTTAACAGAGTTTTAATTGAGTTACTTAATAATAATAGAGTTACGAATAATGAACGTAAAAAGCTATTAATTTTTATTTTATTTTGTTTTTATAATCGTGTTTAATTGATTTCTTAGCGGTTGAATTATACAATAAGAAGTCAAATTAGATTTT